CGTTTTTGGGCAGATTCGTTTTCTCTGTTTTTTAGTTTCGACCTCTGTCCAGTGTTTTGCCTATAACTTTCCAACCGTACGTCGAAAATTTACGTTCTTTATACGGTTGGATTCAGCACACAAAAACGAAGAACACAACGCAGACCAAAAGTCCAAAACAGTTACGCAAATAAACAGAATTCAGTAAACAAGACACACAATGTGTCGAACACGCAACTCACACACACATTTGGGGGGGGGGGGGTTTTGATTTGTTTGAAGTGACCTATTTCTATTGCATGAAAGTAAATGAACTTTGAATTTAAATGAGAATAGCAGGGATGAAGTATCAAAGAGTGGAATTAAAATGTAACAAACACTAGGGTTTCGGAATCCACCCTAAACAATTCTACCCATGTTCATGGATACTCAAGTGATGAACTCTAAACTTGTTGATGAAGATGTTCGCAATCAAGACCATTGGTCGTGGCTCAAGACGCATTGATTCTCTCTAATATACGTAATGTGCATGGTTCGTGCTACAATACTTGTGCCCTCCTCATAAGCGAACCTAGGTATGGTTCGTACTTCGATTCAATTACAAGGAGAACCCATTAAGTTCAAAGAGTATATGAACATCACAAGAATCCTAATAGCATGGTGTTTACATTAGGTATTCAAGAAACCAATTCACATGGATGATTCTTACTTCATCCATTTATTGCTTAGGATAACATGAGGATACAGATAATCCCAACAATCTCAAGAAGCATGCTTTCAAAGGTGATCAATCAAAGAAGAACATACATCAAGGATAGATTAATTTGGTGAATTGGAATTCATCAACAATATCTAGAAATTCATACACTCAAGCATCAAAACAATAAGGTATTCATGTTTAGGGCTTCAACCTAAGCCCTAGCTATGGAGTTTAGTTCCTCATAATCATTTCAAACACAAATTCGAAATAAAACTAGAAAGAAGTTACAGCTTTTGTGAAGGTGGAAGCTCAAGGTCTTCAATGGTGGAAATCTCTTCCACTTCTTGCTTGGATGACTTTGTCTTCCTCCTCTAGCTCTCTAGCTCCCAGCTTTTAGAAAGTCTCTGCAAATTGTAATAAAAACTGAATGAATGATCCGTTCCTAGCTGCTGCCCCAAAGTCAATTGATTCCTCTCTATGCTCCTCTCTCTCCTCCTTTTCATCATGGCACACTTTTGCCTTTGTTTTCTTGTCTCCTCTCATGATGAAGTTTTGTCCTCACAAATATACTCTCAGAAAATTCGACTTAACTAAAGTGAAATATTGTTACGAAAGGCATGGTAACAAGTAGAAGTAAGATCACACTAAGTGGAGGTGAAAACTGGCCAACTCGGATTTCCAGAGCTGTGGTAACATGCTGGATTGGTTGGATAGGCAATACTTGTCCAATGGAGCTCAAATTTGGATATGTTGTAGTTAACATCCATTGGAACAAGTCTTATGAAGATCATCACCTCATCCAAGGACCGGAACATGCTGATCCAAGGCCACGAAGTTGACCTACGAAAATGAACAAAAACAGAATTTATATCAAATAATGCACTTTTAGCTCATTTTCATACAAACCAAGGTAAAACCTATTAAAACACAAAAAAGAAGTAAAAAGCTATAAAATGTCAAGAACTAACTCAAAATAGTGGGTGAATAACATGAAAAATCATGTGTAAAAATGAACCGAACACTCCTCAAGAACTTGTTCCCATTGACCCTGTTCGTCTTGATGGGAAGAACTATCCGATCTGGGCTCGGCGAATGGAGTTTTTCCTCAAGGAATTAAAAGTTGAATATGTACTCTATGAGCCATGCCCTAGCATTATGCTAGGATCTGAAGCAACTACTGAAGAAATTGCTGAATCGAAGGCTGCTGAAGAGAAATGGATCAAGGATGACTTTATGTGCCTTCGCACCATCTTGAACTATCTATGTGATGATCTCCTCCATCGTTACGCAAAGAGAAAGAAAACTACAACTGCTAAACAACTGTGGGACGATCTAAAATTAATGTTCGGAACAAAGAGATCTCTGGTTAGAAAGTACATGGAATTTCAGATGGTTGATGAGAAGACAGTTGTGGAGCAAGTTCAAGAATTCAATCGCATTTTCGATGACGTTGTGGCTTCTGGAATGACGTTGAGTGAGAAATTTCATGTCTCTGCCATCTTAGCCAAGCTCCCAGCCTCTTGGAAGTACTCAACCATCAAGTTATTGACGGGGAAGGAGAAGCCTTTGACTTTAGAAGTGTTGATGGATAGTTTGAGGGTTGAAGAAGAGTACGTTTGCCTATGAACACATCGGAGGTTTTTGTTTTTGTTTTTATTACATGTAAGAAATTATTACGGTTTTTAGTTTATTTTATCAAAGACAAACAAATTAGCAAACAACATTAGGCCTGGCCGGGCTTAAAAAGCCCATCGGGCCGGGCCGGGCCGGGCCGGACCTAAATGGGCCTATTTTATTTTGTCTTTTTTTAAAATATGTATTTTTATTGTCAATTCTTTATTTATTTTTCTATGTTTTTGTGTGTTTCTATGTTTCCTCTTTTTTTTCATAGTTCTCTCTATTTACATTTGTCTATATGTTTATGTCTCCATTATTTTCTTTGTTCATAAATTCATAGTTCCCTTTTCTTTTTTTCCATAAATATAAAGATGTAGTTATACAACCCCATATTAATAAAATCATATTTTATCCCATACTTTATTTTTTTTAGTTCTTATAATGATAATAGATAATGATTTTTTCCATATTTCATTTAACTTGGGTTTTTATATATATTTATTTATATGTATGTGAGCCCGTGGGCCGGGCTTTTATGGGCGGACCGGGCAGGATTTTCTTGGGCTCAAATGAGCCGGACCTATGGGCCAGGCCGGGCTTTAGACACCCAAGCCCAAGCCCGGCCCACTCAACAACGGGTCAGGCCGGCCCATGGCCCATAACGGACCGGGTTGGGCTTTTTCTCAATGGGCTAGGCGGGCCCCCATCAGCCCATGAGCTCTCGGGCCTAATGATGACCCCTAAACAACATGACTGGAATTTCTAAAATTTAAAGTATGGAGATGGAAGGAGGAGACGAAGGTGAAACCCTAATTCCTATGTTTGGTTACTCTCTTTTTTAGGTCCGTTCTATGTGAGTTGTTTATTGAAGTGTACTATAGTTAGTGACTTTGTCTTTGCCTTTAGGAAATTACAATTTATTTGGACACTCAAATCAGTATATACAAGCCATAACAGTCCAGGGGACCGAACCCTAGCTTTTATACGGTGAAGATCTCTCATAGTTCCTTGCCTATAAAGGAATCCTCAAAGTCTATCCTTATCACCTCTTGTATCCATAACCTAATATAATAGGTATTCCATCTTGATATAGAACTTATCTTTACATACAAGTAACGGGCTAGTTGAGTTCTTGTTTACCTTGTATTCTTGGTTATCTAAGACTTGTAAATAAATGCAAGCTTAACTAGAGTTGTTACAGATCCGTCTTGATATTCAAAAGAATATGAACTTGGACAACCCATAGTTTCACAACATCAAAAACAACAAAGATTCCATGTTGTCAACACTACTCATGATCTAAATGAAAAAAGAAAACCCAATTTTAATATATTTAAATTAATCTAATTTAGGGAGAGGATGATTGGAACTTCGGTGCAAGGGCTTGGCCTCAATAACCAAAAAGTCTGGGGCGTTTGTAATTATTAACTCTAAAGAAGAATAATGTTATGAATTATCTCATACGTTCACTTATAGATAGCCAAAATTTAGCCCCCAAATTCATAAATGTCAGTTTTTTAAAAAACTTTTAAATATAACCAAAAACTCACTTAAATTGTCCTAAATGCCCTCTAAATTAAAACCTAACAAAAAGAGCGCTAATTGTCATGCTCTTCCAAGCTGTCGGCAGAGTACTGAGCACAAGGGCACTACCCTTAAGTGGGCTAAGCCTCACTTTCCCTCACCCTACCCTCAAACACAAGGACACTGCCCCTCGTCAATCGCTCTTAATGGATTTTCTTTGCAGCAGTTTTTAAGGGTTTGGATACATACATTTCATGGAAAACAATTATCGACAATTTCATGTTTTACACGCACCCACACTAGATGCATTTTTGTTTTTTTACTCTCTTTTTTTTAATGACATTTTGGCCAAATTTATGAATTTGGGGGCTAAATTTTGGCTAATTTTGATAAAAAAAATCTCGACTTGCAGTCGACTTGCACTCAAGGGAATGGCTTATGGGTCGTCTACGCTCAAGGGAACTGGTTATGGCTCGTAAGAAGGAAACAGAGGTGAAACCCTAGCTAATATTTATGTTTGGTTACTTGGAAGTCTAGGAACTTGAAGGAAATTATTTGATTCTCTTTTTTTCTTAATGGATTTCTTTAGTTGTATGTCAGTTGTTAATGAAGTGCACTCTTTTGCTGAGTTGGTTTGTGCGTCCAGGGATTTAGGAATTGGAAACTCAAATGACAACGAGAAACTGATGATGATATATTTTATTGATCATTAAGAATTTGAGAATTTTCTAGTGTCTTAATTTGTGGATTTCTTTAGCTAAGCGACTGTGGTGTGAGCTAAATTCGAGGTTTGGAGGACGCAAATCTCGAGTTCAAAAGGACATGGAATGTCATTTGCTCGAAGAAAAACCGATGGTGAAGCAAGTTGAAGAAATGAATTCAAGGTTCAAGGATCTGCTTTTTTTTTTTTTCACAAAATGACGACAGATGAGAAATTTCACATTAATGAGCGAGGAGTAGCATCTTGAAGCTGACATGGATCGCTCTTGAAGGTTGAATTAACGAATTCAAAAGGAAGGAGAGGAAATTTGTAGTTTTTAGCTTGGACATGTTTTATTTTTAAATTAATTACTTTTTTTATATTCAATTGTTATGACTATTTATTTTAACTAATTACATATATTTGTAATCACCTACTGAATAACAGATATTGGATAAAAGAATAATTGTCACAAAAAGTGAAAATTCCAAGATTTACCCTTTTTTATTTTATAAAAGGCTATAGAATATTATCAGATCAATATAAATAAAGAGCACAAATGATACAAATTGTAAAGAGAGTCATCCCAATAACAATATGGGAGATATGGGTAAAACTTCTCTAGTGACCTAAGTCAGCCGAAAAGCTGAAACGATCTAGAGAGAATCACTCTCAAAAATAACTTTTCTATAACCCCTTTCAACGGCCATAATTTCCATGAATCTAGTCCAATAATTAGTCTAAAATTAACTGAGTACACCTTACTATTAAACTATTTATTGAATTATTAATTTACCATAATATGAATTGACCAAAAAGGATATATTGAATTATGAAACAAACGTAATTTTAATACATACTCTCCATATTCAACCCTAAGTACACCCTCAGAGTGTTTGGATAGATAAAAAAATAGTTGGAATTTAACAAAAACTTTGTATTTGAATCACACACGCCAAATGCCACGTTTGGATACCTTAAACAAGGAATGTTGAAATTATGTGTGGAATCTCTATTTATATTCGTTTGGTAGCTCGTTGGTTTTTCAGTTATCGGTGCCATTGTTTTTGGCTGTTAATTAAGCTGTTTTTGCATATTGTCTATTTGATGTTAACAGAAATTCTTCTCTTTGAATAGTCTTTGCTGGTTAATAACATTAAATTAATATGATCAGAAATTCCAGATTAGAGCCTTCCATTGCTTTTGAGTTTCCAAACTAGTTTTAAGTGTGGTTGATGATTTGTCCAAATATTTCTATACCTTGAATAAATTTTTTATTTGAGCTTTGGTTAGCCATCCTTGGTTTCGCTATAAAATGAATAAATTCATTCTTTCGTTTTGAGTCTTTCAGCACCTTATTAGCAAACACACAGATTGAAGAAAATTGGGCTAGCTGCCTCTGGCTATGTTGTCTTATAGTGATCATATATAATCTCATGCTTTTATGTTATATATGATCACTATACAATTTTAATTCACTTTTCTGCAATTGGTTCGGATCTTGCCCTGGCTTTGTGTGAGAGGCTCGATGTTTCCCATTTTGACCATGGCCTTGGCAAAGTGCTTGAAGAATGCAAAGGTGTGTTGTTTTGTAAAAGGTCGGCAGCAAGGTAAGTTTGGTGGTTTGATAGTGTTCGGCAGTTAGGGATCTCGAATGGGTTTGGTGTTGTGTGATAGAGTGTATTAGGGTGCACCAAGGGTATTTTTGGTAGTTAAATAGGGTGTAATTAGTTAATTTTACATTTTGATTTAAATATTAGGGTGTACTTTAAATCACAGAGTATACTCAGTTAATTTTAAGGTTCGTTTAACAACCTAAGTGCATTATCACAAAGTCTTTCCATCCAAGTCAAACTCCCAGCAAAAATATTTCCATGTTTAATTGGCAAAGGGAATCAATTAATTAGCAGATAAGCTATTCTAATACCATTTGATCTTAAACACGTGGCATTATAAGGTTAAAAACAAAGTTCAGCTAGGATCCTGTTTAATTTAAACTTGGCAGATTTGACTCTAAGAAGAAGAGAAAAACGAGGACACTTTTTATATAAAGGGGAGTTTTACATAAAATTAGCCAGGAAATTGGCCATTGACCAAAAACAAAACCAGAAAATTGATCGGAGCCATGGACTCGTCGCGACGTCCAGTCGATCGTCACCCATTGAATTGGGATCGGCTTATGAGTCGTTTATCCGCAAGGGAAACGGTTATGTTTGGTTTTAAGGATTTTAGGGAAACAAAGGTGAAACCCAAAACCCTAATTTTTATGTTTGGTTACTTGGAAAGTGTAGGAATAGGAAGGAAATTTGATTTTTTTGTTTTTCTTAATGGGTTTCTTTAGTTGTATGTGAGCTGTTAGTGAAGTGCACTGTTTGGATGAGTTGGTTTGTGCGTCTAGGGATTTAGGAATTTGGAAACACAAATAACAATGAGAAACTGATGATGATATATTTTATTGGTAGAAAGAATTAGGAATTTGAGAAATTTTCTGGTGTCTTCAATTGTGGGTTTCTGATCTAAATTCTTTCTTTTGTATGGTCAGCTGGATGTTGGAGAACCAGCTGTTACACCCAAAGGTAAAATGCATATATACAACAAAACCAAATATATTAATTAGCTTCATGCATATATATATATTGAGCTGCATTTGATCTTTCTAGTTTTGTTTTCTTACCCTATTCTTGTTGTGTTGTCATGTTCATGTTCTGCTAATGATGAAGTAATTGTTGCCGTCGACAATCTTCGTTTAGATGGGAAGAACTACAGTATTTGGTGTTATAGGATGCTTTCCTATGTCCTGAATGATCTTACACGTGTGCTCTATGCGCCATGGCCAAGATTTCTGGTAGAAACCGAAGCAAGTGTTGAAGAATTTGCTATATCAAGGGCTGCTGAAGAGATTTGGAACAAGAATGACTCCCTTTGTTTTCATACAATCTTGAACCATCTATCTGATGATCTCTTCCTTCATTACTCAAAGAGGGGGAATTACTCAAAGAGGGGGAAGAAAACAAGTGCTAAGCAACTGTGGCATGAGCTACAATCGAGGTTTGGAGAACACGATTCTTGCGTTCCAGATTACCTGGAATATCATTTCCTTGAAGAGGAACCAATGGTGGAGCAAGTTGAAGAACTGAATGCAAGGTTCAAAGAACTGTTTAAATGTGAAGAAATGGCGATAGATGAGGAATTTCATGTGATTGGTTTTTATAAATTTGGGCATTATGCTAATAAAAGTATTGGAAATTAAAATTACTACTTTTTCTTTGTAGGTTCTTGGTGAGATTTGCAGCAAGTTAATAATAGGTGCAGCAATTACTATTGGATTTTGAAAAGATGAGTGAAGTGCCGCACCAAAACATAAAGGAAAGGACAAGAAGAAATGAATGCACCAGTCAAAGGAAATGAAGGGTGGCTGCTGCAAATGGAAAGAAAGTTTGTGTTTTACTAGCATATGGTGTCATGGCATACGCAACTCATTTGTTGAAAGAACAAATAAACAAATGAAAGCTAATAGGTAAATGGCAGCAAGAAGATCAGCACTTGCCAAAGAAGATTTATCAAAGGAAGAAGTGGTGATGGCATTGATATTAATAAAACAAAAGCATTGAAGTGTGGCAGCCAAACTAATAAGGATGAAGATTTGGAGGGTGCTGCCAGCACTAGAGTGAATAAACAAGGTAAGTGGAGCATCAATTGAAGAATTAAAGAAGAGGAAGGCTACGGCAGTGGCATGATAGGATAATAGTTTAATCAAGTATGTTGCAATCGGATTACATACAACCTGAGCAGCCCCCATTCCTATAAATAGATCATTGATGCAGCTTCAAAGGAGACACCAAGCCTCACAACTTGAGCTTTCTCTCTTCTCTCCATCTTTCTAAGTTTTAATTTCTATTTTTAGTTTTATTTTATGGGGAACTAACTCCCTAGCTAAGGCTAGGGAGAAAGCTTTTAATATAAGTGTGTAATTTTTATTAGTTTGATCCAAACTTAAGCTTTAATGTGAATTTGTAGTTTTTGTTCAAATGGAATTTGTAGTTTTCTTTTTAATTAATTGATGAATGTTTGATAATCTATTTCATGGGTTCAATCATGTTTTTCCATTGTGTAGTAAAAACTCTCATGCTTTTAAAAGAGAAGAGAATTACTAAAGATTAATAGAATTTTGATGAAGATTATTTTTTGATAGTTTGTTGCCAATGGTACAAGTTATGCTTAGAATACTTCTAAAGGAAATTAAAAAGGGCTTTAATTATTTTGAACAACTACAAAGGAAAATATTTTGTGGATCAAATTATTAAGAGTTGCATGCTTATGTTAAAAGTGGAACCCCAATGCCTTAGTGTTTTAATCTATTAAATTTTCTCTAAATCAAATCTTGCATAAATCTACTTTTCAATCATAATTGTTCTTTTTCAGCTCTGCTATCTTTACACCGCTCTCTGTGGATACGACACTCGGACTTCCGAGCTACACTGCTATACGACACATCCCTTGGGTTTTGCAAAGTGGTGCGAACAAAAATTATCAATTCTCTTCGCCCAACCTTCGAGGTGGAGAGTCTTCAGGAGGAAATTCTTTACAATATCTAGTTCGGCCTTTTTTTCATGAGGCATGCCAAACCACTAGGTACAAAATCTATCACAAACACCTGCAGGTTCATATGACAATCAAAGCTATCATAACACCAAAATTTCTCATATTAGTCACTCGGTTTCATTCTATTTACAAAGGGTTCCCACTATCTTTCATTCTGTTATATGCATGTATTTCACCTTTAGCTAGCTTAGCATAAGTTGTTAGGTTGATAAATTTTTAATTCAATTAAATTGAAGTTGAATTTAGATTATAGGGTACACAATCCATAAGCCGATGTGAAACTAGTGTCAGCGTTTACATTACAACACGGACAGAAGCTTGGGCTCATCTTGTCCAGGTTGGTGGAGCCCATCTCTTGCCATGGCAAGATTTATGCGCTTGGAGCTGATTTTGAGGCCTAGGGGGCGTTTTGCCTTAGCTACGCTGCTGGGGTGGAAATGCTCTAATAGTAGTGTTAAGGGTGTACATCAATTCGAAACCAATACAATTTAGTCAATCTACATCCGATCCAATATAGATTGGATTGTGATTTTTTCAATCCAATCCAATCATATTAGATGTTTAAATCCGATTTGATCCGATCCAATTGATATTGGATTGGATTGGATTGGATGATCAGTTTTGACAATAAAACAATACAATAATGAAATATTAAACATTTATCCTTATGTTTAATATAATCAAACATATTAATAGACATAAATGTAAAATATAAATGAAATATTAGAGAAAATTATTTTGATTATATAATATATTAAACATAACTCCATTAAATGATTTAAAATATTCATAGCATTTTCAACGACAAATACCTACATAAGCAAAATAAGTATCAAACTAACTAGATTGGATTCTCATTAGCAAATCTGTCATCCGATCCAATTATGCCAGTTTTGAAAATTACGAATTCAATCCAATCCGCTAAATCTTCGAAACTAATTAAAATTGAATTAAATTGGGTTGAATTGGTCGATTTAGGTGGATTGGATTGAATTGGATCTTGTACACCCCCAAGTGGGGTTATTAGGGTTTGCTGTGGTCTGGGCTGCTGTTAGTGAGCTTATTTCTTCTTGTTTTTTTTAAAAGGGACAAAGGCTTATTTCTGCTTGTAATACGGTTGGGCCTTGTGTCTTTATCTTTGGGCCTAGTCTTTTTCGGATGTAATGTTTTTCAGTCTTCAAAAAATTAAAAGTATTGTCAACTCTCACATGTGGGTCATGTGCTCTGCTTGTAAACGCTCACACTTTTCGGAAAATTGCACACCACATTGAATTATTCATCACATCAAGGAGCCATGCATGCCATGCCACGCATGCAACTTATTCGTTGGTCGCTCATCTGTTTGTCGTAAAAGTTAGAAATACAAACTTTTTGCCTTCACTCGTATTATAATAAGTTGACGGTCATATTCTTAAGCGTTAAGTGTTGCGGGTTTTGAGTCCACGCATGCAACCTATTCTTAAATGTTGCGAGTTAAAATTGAAACTTAAAAGTATGCATAATTTTAAGTTTATTCGACCGAAACCACTATGATCGGGTTGACTGGAAATTGTACACACCGAGTTAGGATAGCTAAATAATGAGCGGATTTTGAGTCCAATAAATACGTATGAATTGAATTACGTATTGGGACCAAAATGGCCAAAACTAATCTGTTTGTCGTAAAAGTTAGAAATACAAACTTTTTGCCTTCACTCGTATTATAATAAGTTGACGGGTTATATCACAAGGTCATATTCCTTTTTTTTCTGTTTTTTTGTACTTGTATACATTGTTAACTGCTCAAATGCCCAAGAATCATATCCATATTGAATTTGGTTTTATCTCAGTAGCAATGTGAAAATCATACATGAAATGAAACAAAACATGAAATATCACCACATACAACTAACAAAAATAATAGAATCATTCTCAATACATTGTTAACTGCCTATTTAACTAAGGATGTTCATTTTTTTTTTCAAAAAAACAAGACTAATGATATCCATTTGCACTGTTAAGCAGTGACGGAGCCACCTAAGGACCAGGGTGGGCCCAGGCCCTCACTCATATTTTTTATTTTCTCATATTTTTACTTATATGTGTTGCTATATGTTTGCTTCTTGGAGTAAAAACTCAATTTTTTTTTTCTCATTCTCTTCCTCTTTTGATTAACTTAAGCTTTATAAATTTCCCTTTCTCCTATTTTACATGTCTAAGTAGGGCATCTTAATATTGGGATTTATGAACATTTTTTGTATTTCTTCTCTCTGTTAAAGTATAAATTATTAAATTTTGAGTCTTTAATAGTGTAGATGATGAGATTAATATTCAACCATGTTAAATATGATATTCAAGACAATTATGATTGTAATAAATAGATAAATTATTAATCAATATGAAATGATATTATATTATTAACTTATTAACCCGGTTAGCGCTTGAGGGCTCCTATTCGAATTATTTTTAAAATTTTTGTGAATGGCCCCCTTTAATGTGAAATCCTAGCTCCGCCACTGCTGTTAAGGGCCAGGTTCTCAATTTCTCTTTCAGGTTGCCTATTTTATTCAAAGACGAAATCTTTCACACAACTTTCAGCAGACTCTGTCGCCCTCTTAATCTGCCATCATAAATTTGTGCCATTACCCTTCGAAACACTTAACGTACACCAAGTATAGAAATTATTCAACAAAACCGATATCTATCAACCAATGACAATCGCCAATTACATTGAAAGTTTTCTAAGACAGAGGAAAAAGGAACATGAAAAGAGAGAAGAATCTCCACTCAGCTAAAGGCATCCGGCCTTATAATATATATGGAGAGACAAAACATGCTTTACATTAAACAATCTAGTCTTTAACTACCTAATAATACCTCAGCACTAATCTTAGCCATAATCTGTTTCAAAGGCCAAGATGCTATCCTTACAGACAGAAACAACAAATTTTTGAAAAAGACAATCAACAGCACCTCTAGCAGGCAAGGTACTTTGCAATAACGAACTCCTTTCATGTCTGCACCTATTTCTAAATTCTAACTCGGAAAATTTGTCATTGTTCCATTCAGCATCATATAGTTCTAGTTTCATGAACACTCCTACAAGCAGTCCACTACACAGACTGTTCACATTATCATTTTGATAATGAGATATGGCAACAGGAGAGACGTCGTATAACAAAATCAGTTCAAATCAAATAACCCAAATTTGGTCCACAACTAGCAACTCAAGTTCAAGCCCAAAATCTAAAGACCCCAAAATTTTGAACTAAAAGTGCAAACAAGAAGAGAAAATTGTAACCCCAAGACTAATTTTCATTTTCTCCCTACCATTTCTTAACAAGATCCAGTAGTAATTTTACAGAAAGAAATCACCTGAAGAACAAAGAACATACAGGGTCGAGAGCATTGGGCTCAAAGCCATAATCAGCAGCCAAAGAATAAAAGTACAGACTTTGACACTTGTTCAAATCTGAACTTGTGGGTCAAGGTCTTTTAAGAGTCATTATATATAGTTGTTTTTGCACCGGTCTATATATTGAGAGGAAAATAAATCTGAACTTGTCTTAACCACTTGAGCTACAAGCCTTTTGAATATATATTGTTTCTCACATTACTTATTTCCCCAAATCACAATTTGGCACATTTGTAAAAATAATTTTATCAACA